AATCTTTAGTTACAATTAGTATAAAATATCTGAAAGTTCCTCCAAGTTACCTAGGTACCAGTCCCTGCCCTACCCAACTCAGTGCAGGGAAGAAAAGTCAGCTTTGTACCAGGAATTGGAAAACCAGCAGTGTAGGCATGTTTTTGCCAAGAGAAGGGAAAGGAAATCATAAGTCCATGGATTTATCCTTTGTATTCTAAGAAATCAAGAGAATTTCAAGGTGACCCTATGTATACTTCCCAGGAGTCTAATCTGTGCTTTTACTAACAGCAGAATGCCAGATGGGTGGGGTCTAGATTCACACTAATTCAAAGAAAATATACTGTCATAAGTATTCAATTTACCTGTAAGTTATGTCTTATTTTATTTACTCCTTCATGTTTCCAAGCCATGTTTTAGAAGAAGTGCCACAAAAGGGAGCCATTTTAGAACAGACTTATTGAAACACTAAAGGGAACCAGTATGTCCCTTGGTTGCTCTTAGTATCCACAGGTAACCATTACCTCTTGGTTCAGGAAGAAGAAAAAACAAACACTGATTCTACCTCTAATGAGCCTCATTGAGCAATAATATTCTTTCTCTCTCCAGTGAAAACTAGAGTTTGGCTAAATGACCTCTAAACTATGATACTCTAAGATCATACTGAGTCTGCAATTCAACCATCTCAGAACTTATCACATCTGTTCTTCTAAAACTACTCCCTAAAACACACATTTTATCATGATTAGAACTTTTAGTACTAAACAGTATGGTAGTTTCATCACATTACTCTGTGCAATGGCCGGCACAGATGTGTTAATACATTTTTACATCTTCTGTAAAAGTTCAAAAGGTGTTACCCTTAAATCCACTCTAACTAATCCACTCTAAATATCATTGCTACCCACTCTAAATATCGTTGCTACCCACTCTAAATATCGTTGCTACCCACCCCAAATATCGTTGCTACCCACCCCCCGAATTTCTCCTTTTACTGTAAGAGTTCTTGGATATCAAGAAGGCTACTTAGGTATTAATTAGAGCATGGGATTCCATCTGCTCTTCCCTTTGTACTTCACATACCCCATGTCATAAATGAGCTACTTTAGTCTTCCAAAAAGGCATTCATTCTCTTCCAACATCCTATGACTTACACATTTCTGTTATTCTCTCATTTGAGTTCCATGCCTTTCCCAAATATGCAGCCAAAGGAACTCAAATTCTACCTGCTCAGGGTAGTCCTCCCTGACACTTCCCTAGAGAAGTATAAAATATAAAGTTGATACTCCTATTTTTGATTTCCCAACAATTTCAACATCCAGTGAGTCACACAATAACTTCAAGTAGCATATCCAACAAGCTCTTCTTTTGTGCCCCTCCGAACTGTTTATGCATTTGTTGCTTCTCTAAGACCAGGAATTCCTCTAGAGCAAGAAAATGTGGATTCTAACCTCTTTATTTCCAATGCCTAACCCACAATGGGATCTCAAAAATGTTAGTTCAATGAATGAAACTTAGTGGAATGAAGCATATTTCCCAAAGAAAAATATGGATTAAAAAGTGAATAGAAATAAAGTTGGGAAATACGACAGTAGAAATTGCTCCTTTGGTAAAAGGAAGAAAATGCCCCTATAAAATCTATTTTCAGAGTTGTTAAGTAAATAGAACAACTTTGGACCTCTTACTGTACAAACATTCTACCTATATGATCATTTTATCCTTTATCCATGAGTTAATGCAGCCTTGCAAAGGTGATTCAGGAAAGGTGGGTTCAGTAAGGCACACAACACATGATTGAATAATGAAAAATCGCAGACCTATTAGCCTACTTTAAGTTGTCAGTGATTTAACAGGTTTTGCAATTAGCTTGGATCAAAACTGGAAACGTTGAAGTTGGCCATTAACAGTCTACATTTTGAGGACTGATCAAATACATTTTGATTGCAACACAACACAGTCTACTGAAGACACCATCTTCTCCTGGCACATATTTTTAATATTCTAAGTGTGTGATTATTGTTCTCACAGTATATAATTATTATCCTAATATATAATAGGGAGATTCAGATTAAAGGTTTTTCTTAACATAGCCTACATTCTTTAAGACTGTCTACACATGCCTCCAACTCACCTCCACATTTTTATGGGTTTATTCAGCAGCCACATTTTTGTTTGCACAATCTCACCGTGTAGACAAACTCATAATCACTGATATTTGAACAGTGCTTTACTGATTATAAAGCACCTTCACATCTCTCCACACTAGAGTGAAACATAGGTAACTCAGATATAGATGCTGTGCTTATTTTGTGGATGAGGAAACTAAGGCTTAGTAGGTAAGTGGCTTGTCTGAGGACACATGACTATAATGTGAGCATAGCCAGACCTTGAAATTAGACCTGTGTTTGATTTTCAGGTTCTAGATCATATTGAGATTTTTCTCTGAATGTTTTTCTTTTTATGAAAAAGCCACACTCAAGGGACACTGATCAATCACCTGAGAAACAGTGTCTTATTTCCTATGTTCCTTCTCCAGGATGAACTGTAGATTTTCTCTGCTTGGAAACCTTCAACTATCCCCCATTATTTTAAAGAAAAGCCAAAATCTTCATCTGGCATTCGAATATGTCCATGGGCTGTAAGCAGGAGACCTTCCAGGCTTGTAGTCCACTTGAAGCTTTCAATGGTCTCGTCTGCAAACACTAGGCAGCTTGCAGTTCTCTGAATGCAGCCTGGACTGTCCTTCCTTGGGGCTCAGGTTGCTCTCCCCTCTCGCCTCCAACATCACCACCCCTCCATCCCTGATCAGAACATATGAGTCTTTGGAATAACCTTTGCAGATGTTGCCACCTTTAAAAGAATATTTCAGTCTTTTCCTTGCTCTTCGATGTATCTGCCACTGTTGAACTTATTATGGGTTCCTGAAAGAGGACCACTTGGTCCTATTTTTCTTCCTTTTAACCAACCTCTTTCCTTCTTCTAACAGTTCCCCCCAAAAGTCCACGCAGCAGGTGCCACCTGTCTGCAGCTCAGCACGTGTTTATAGAAACAAAGTGCATTTGCACAACCAACAGGCCAAGTGGAGCCAAGAGCGATGACAGCTAAGGAAGAACTAGGCACTAGGGTGCGTGGCTTGTGCCCCACATAACTGACAGTCCCGTTGTATGTCTAGGAAAGGCAGCTGGATCAGGTCGAAAGAGGAAAGCACCTTACTCAGGACTGTATTGAAATGACTACACACCAAGGAAACCAGATCTGAAAGAGACATGTGCACCCCAATGTTCATCACAGCACTGTTTATAATAGCCAGGACATGGAAGCAACCTAGATGCCCATCAGCAGACGAATGGATGAGGAAGCTGTGGTACATATACACCATGGAATATTACTCAGCCATTAAAAAGAATTCATTTGAATCAGTTCTAATGAGATGGATGAAACTGGAGCCCATTATACAGAGTGAAGTAAGCCAGAAAGATAAAGACCATTACAGTATACTAACACATATATATGGAATTTAGAAAGATGGTAATGATAACCCTATATGCAAAACAGAAAAAGAGACACAGATGTACAGAACAGACTTTTGGACTCTGTGGGAGAAGGCGAGGGTGGGATGTTTCAAGAGAACAGCATCGAAACATGTATATTATCTAGGGTGAAACAGATCACCAGCCCAGGTTGGATGCATGAGACAAGTGCTCAGGCCTGGTACACTGGGAAGACCCAGAGGGATTGGGTAGACAGGGAGGTGGGAGGGGAGATCGGGATGGGGAATACATGTAAATCCATGGCTGATTCGTGTCAATGTATGACAAAAACCACTACAATATTGTAAAGTAATTAGCCTCCAACAAAGAAAAATAAATGGAAAAAAGAAAGAAAGAGAGAGAAATGACTGCCAGCAGAGAAGCAGGACTGGTTTTTTACTTGTGAAAGGAATCACTGTGAATACTGGAGCTGCTATTGGAGAGCTGGAGTGCTGAAGGTCAAGCAAACATCACACAGAGATGAGCCACACAGTGACAAGAGTTCCGGGCCAAGGTCTGCATGAAGACTACTGCTGGCTGTCTTAGGAGGGCTCAGAAGCCCTGAAATTGATTTACCATTAATTTCTCGAGACTGGAGGGAGGCAAGGCATGACCACTAGCAGTGCAAGGTCAGCTTCCGAAATGCAGATAATAAATAAAGGTGAAGAAAAATAGCCACCCTCCAAAGGAAGCCAGGGGATGCAAAGAAGAACTAATAACAAGACACCACTTGCATTAGAAAAAAAAAAAAATTGGAGGTTCAAGAGGGAGGGGACATATGTATACCTATGGTTGAATCATGCTGATGTTTGACAGAAAACAACAAAATTCTGTAAAGCAATTATCCTTCCATTAAAAAAATAGATTAAAAAGAAAAATACATTAATTGCTGACACCAAATGCTAGTACAACTGGGTATAAATTGATATATTCAAACTCTTGGTACTAACATAAGCTATTCAGTATCCATGGAAAGAAAAGTAAGAAGTAGTCATAATCCCCAATGTAGAAATCCCACTCTAAAAATGAGTTATGCAAATAGCTCCAAAGAAAATATACACGAACATGTCCTAGGCAGCATTACTTACAACTGAAAAAGGAAGGCGTCTCAATTTATTTGATGTAAGGAATTTCTTAGAAAAGATGTAGTTCTCACCCTGACTTTAACACAGCCATGCTAAACCATACCTCTGAAGATTCTACCAACATACAACAAAATATCCACCGAGGCAAAGCCAGAAAAGGAGTAGGGCAGTGGCATAACAAGCTTTAACTTATAAATGGGTAGAATGCTGTGGTGTTATTTTAGAGAAAATACTAATCAAATCAGTTAAAGAAATTTCTGTTGACTGACACATGTTGATATTAAAAAAGATAACTTAGACCACTGACTCTGAGAAAATCAAAAAAGAAAGAAGGGCTGTAAGAAGCAGCTTGTTCTTTCAGGTAATTGCAGATTATGTGTGGCTAATATTCACAGCCAGCTCTTACCTGCGGGGGCCGAGGCTTGTAGGGGGAACTGCACTCCAGGTCAGCCAAGATGCTAGTCAGAGAGTCAATCTCAGCATCCAGGCTGGAGCGTCTCTCCTCAAGGGTCTTGCCTCCAGGATTTCCCTGTGAGAAGTAGCATATTTACATTAAAAGTGGAAATTTCTGGTTTTCATCCATTTCAGTCTGAGTTCAAATTTCCCAGTACAATGTGACTTTGTCCAAGCTTTTTACCCACTTCATATATTTAGCTTTTATAAAATTTTTGAGGTAGGCCAGAGTATTATCCCTCTTTGACAAATAAGACAACTGGAATGTATGAGAAGATTTTCCCAAAGTCATACTCTTATTTAGAGGATATTTTCTCTGATGCATATGCAACTTAAAGGAAGTAACTGTTTCCATACCTGCACTCAAGGAGTAGATCCAGCCGGAGAGGTGATACAAATTCTGTGTTCAGAAACCACAGTATAGCACTTCCCTGTTGGTGCAGTGGTTAAGAATCTGCCTGCCAATGCAGGGGACACGGGTTCAACCCCTGATCCAGGAAGATCCCACATGCCACAGGGCAACTAAGCCCATGGCCCACAAGCTTGCATGCCCTGGAGCCCATGCTCAACAAGATAAGCCACTGCGGTGAGAACTGAGCACCACCACAACCGTGAGCAGCCCCAGCCGGCCACAGCTGGAGCGGAGCCCCTGCTCGCCCCAACGAGAGAATGCCCACTTGCAGCAACAAAGACCCAGCACAGCCAAACATTTTTTAAAAAGAAGAGAAAAGAAGCCACTGTATAGAAGGATGGGATTGTAGTTGAAGCAGGAAAAGGCAAGGAGAGACTTCAAGTCCAGAGAGACGAATAAGTGAGGGATCAGTGGTTGAGGTGTGTCTGTGTCCGAGAGAGACAGCCAGCCCAAAGAGATATCCCTAAATGATGAACTAGAGTAAGACAGCCCAGGGTGTAGCCGAGGGGCTGGAGAAGCAGAAAGCGGCAGTGACCAGTGCCTATGGAGCACGGGATCTAGGAACTTCATGCCAGTGCTGCGTGGCAGCAGGAGCGCGCACTGCTGCTCGCATCCAGAATCCACGTGAAGTGAGCAGAGGCAGAAACACCACCACAAAGGCCTGAACAGGAAGTGGGAACAGGCTTGGGAAGAACAAGAAGTTTGCCTAGAGTTAAAGGCATGGAAATAAAGAGTGAAATACGAAGGAAATAAAAGGGTAGCCCTAGGATTTGGAAACAGGGTGAGCTGAAATAATCTTTTAAGATAATGATGTAACAATGATCATAGACATGTGATGGGACTGTCTCTTAAGACTCCATCGAGAAATCAAAGTGAATGTGCAGTAAGGCCCATTAGGAGTGAAATAATGAGAAGCTAGCGTAATTGAATCAACTCTACAGAACTTGTCTAAGGAAGTTAAATATCAGTATAGTGTCTTGAAGTGTTTAGAAGAAAAAGCCAAGAAACCAGAGTATCTTCAGCAACAACAAAAATTAGGGTGCCCTGACAAGCTAATGTTTAAATCTTTTAATTATCTAAGTAAATTTATCTTTATGAATCTGATACAATGACAGCATAATGGTATTTCCTATGAAGACCACTAGTTTCTTTTCTCCTAGTAGCTTGCCCCACAAACCATCTTCCCTGAGTCCTTAACTTAGTTAATTCTCTGCATAAAACAGCTCAAATGAGATCTAGTGTATTAGTCAGTTTCTTGTGAATTTAGCCAGCAAGAGTTAATCCTTCAGAACCTGATCTATCTGTTTAGATCAGATCTATCTCCATCTGTTTATGTCATCTTTGATTCTGTTCATTAGTGTCTTATAATTTTCTGTGTACAGTTCTTTTGTATCCTTGGGTAAGTTTATTCCTAGATATTTTATTCTTTTTGTTGCAATGTTGAATGGGATTGATTCCTTAATTTCTCTTTCTGATTTTTCATTGTTAGTATATAGAAACGCAAGTGATTTCTGTGTGTTGATTTTATATCCTGCAACTTTGCTAAATTCACTGATTAGCTCTAGTAATTCTCTGATACTATCTTTAGGGTATTCTATGTACAGTATCATGTCATCTGCAAACAGTGAGAGCTTCACTTCTTATTTCCTGATCTGGATTCCTTTTATTTCTTTTTCTTCTCTAATGGTTGTAGGTAGGGTTTCCAGAACTATGCTGAATAACAGTGGTGAAAGTGGACACCCTTGTCTTGTTCCTGATCTTAGGGGGAATGCTTTTCAATTTTTCACCATTGAGAATAATGCTAGATGTAGGCTTATCATGTATGGCCTTTACTACGTTGAGGTAGATTCCTTTTTTGCCCATTTTTTTTAAAGTTTCAATCATAAATGTGTGCTGAATTTTGTCAAAGCCTTTTTCTGAATCTATTGAGATTATCAATATGGTTTTTATCTTTCAATTTGTTAATATAGTGTATCATATTGACTGATTTCTGTATATTGAAGAATCCTTGCATCCCTAGAATAAACTCAACTTGATCGTGGTGTATGAGCTTTTTGATGTGCTGCTGAATTCTATTTGCTAAAATTTTGTTGAGGATTTTTGCATCTATGTTCATCAGTGATACTGGCCTATAGTTTTCTTTTTTTGCGTCATCTTTGTCTGGTTTTGGTATCAGGGTGATGGTGGCCTCATAGAATGAATTTGGAAGTGTTCCTTCCTCTGCAAATTTTTGAAAGAGTTTTAGAAGGACAGGCATTAGCTCTTCTCTAAATGTTTGACAGAGTTCTCCTGTGAAGCCCTCTGGTCCTGGGCTTTTGTTTTTTGGAAGATTTTTGATGACAACTCCAATTTCAGTGCTTGTTATTGGGTTGTTCATAATTTCTATTTTTTCCTGGCTCAGTTTTGGAAGGTTGAACTTTTCTAAGAATCTGTCCATTTCTTTCAGGTTATCCATTTAATTGCCATATAGTTGTTCATAATAGTCTCATAATCCTTCATATTTCTGCACTATCTGTTGTAAACTCTCATTTTTCATTTCTCATTTTGTTCATTTGATTCTTCTCTCTTTTTTCTTCCTGAGTCTGGCTAAAGGTTTGTCAACTTTATCTTCTCAAAAAACCAACTTTTTGTTTTTACTATTTTAGTTTTTTTTACTATTGTTTCTTTCATTTCTTTTTCATTTATTTCTGCTCGAATCTTTATGATTTCTTTCCTTCTACTAATTTTGGGGTTTTTTTGTTCTTCTTTTTACAGTTGTTTTAGGTGTAAAGTTAGGTTGTCTATTTAATGTTTTTCTTGTTTCTTGAGCTAGGACTCTGTTGCTATTAAACTTTCCTCTTAGAACTGCTTTTGCTTCATCCCATAGGTTTTGAGTTGTCATGTTTTCATTGCCATTTGTTTCTAGAAATTTCTTGATTTCCCTTTGAGTTCTTCAGGAACCTGTTGTTTATTTAGAAACGTATTGTTTAATCTCCATGTGTTTGTGTTTCTGACAGTTTTTTTCCTTGTAATTGATAGCTAGTCTCATCAGAGAAGATGCTTGATATGATTTCAATTTTCTTAAATTCCTGAGGTTTGATTTGTGACCCAAGATGTGGTCTATCCTGGAGAATATTCCATGTGCACTTGAGAAGAAGGTGTATGTATTCTTCTGCATTTGGATGGAATGTCCTGAAGATATCAATGACATCCATCTCATCCAATGTGTCATTTAAGGCTTATGTTTCCTTAATAATTTTCTGTTTTGATGATCTGTCCATTGGTGTGAATGGAGTGTTAAAGTCTTCTACTATTATAGCGTTACTGTTAATTTCTCTTTTTATGCCTGTTAGTGTTTATCCTATGTATTGAGGTGCTCCGATGTAGGGTGCATAGATATTTACAATTGTTATGTCTTCCTCTTGGATTGATCCCTTGATCATTACGCAGTGTCCTCCCTTATCTCTTATAATCTTCTTTAAGGTCTGTTTTGTCTGATATGGGGATTGCTACTCCAGCTTTCTTTTGCTTCCCATTTGCATGGAATGTATTATTCCATCCTCTCACTTTCAGTCTCACTTTCAGAGTCTTTAGGTCTGAAGTGGGTTTCTTATAGACAGCATACATATGGGTCTTGTTTGCCAGTCTGTGTCGTTTGGTTGGAACATTTAATCCATTCATATTTAAAGTAATTATTGATATACATATTCCTATTGCCATTTTCTTAATCGTTTGGGGTTGATTTTGTGGATCTTTTTTTTTCTTTTGCATTTCTTGACTATATGTCCCTTTCGGACATGACTGAGTGACTCACAACAACAACAACATTTGTTGTAAAGCTGGTTTGGTGGTACTGAATTCTCTTAACTTTTGCTTTTCTGAAAAGATGTTTATTTCTCCATCAATTTTGAATGAGATCCTTGCTGAGTACAGTAATATAGGTTGTAGATGTTTTCCTTTTCAGAATTGTAAATTTATCCTGCCATTCCCTTCTGGCCTGCACAGTTTCTGCTGAAAGATCAGCTGTTAAATGTATGGGATTTCCCTTGTATGTTACTTGCTGCTTTTCCCTTGCTGCTTTTAATATTCTTTCTTTGTGTTTAGTCTTTGCTAGTTTGATTAGTATGTGTCTGGGCATGTTTCTCGTTGAGTTTATCCCGTATGGGACTCTTTGCACCTCTTGGACTTGATTGACTATTTCCTTTTTCATGATGGGGAAATTTTCAGCTATAATCTCTTCAAAAATTTTCTCATACTAACTATGGGTACTTTTTAACCAGATAATCTAAAACAATCTTTTAATCATCTTCTCTTTCTGGATATATGTGTATGATCCCTCTGAAAGTAGTGTTAGTTGCTCAGTTATGAACAACTCACTGTGACCCCATGGACTGTAACCACTGTTCATGGACTTCTCCACAAGAATTCTGGAGTGGGTAGCCATTCCCTTCTCCAGGGGATCTTCCAAACCCAGGGGTTGAACCTGGGTCTCTTTCATTACAGGTAGGTCATTTACCATCTGAGCCACCAGGGAAGCCCCATGACCCCTCTATCTGTTTTGCTTACATTTCTCATAATATCTATCACCATCTAACATTAACTTTTATGCATGTTTGTCTTGTGCTTTCCCAGATAGCTCAATGGGCAACAAATCTGCTTGCAATGCAAGAGACACAGGAGATGTG